AATAAAAAAGAAGAATAAAAAAGTGCATATGAGGAAGTCAAGCTAATCCCGCTAAGGCCACTGCTGGTTGTAACGCCCAGAAAATCGCACAGTGTACGCCCGGCTTAACTGCTTCCTGGGTAGAAGTGACTGAAAATTTATTCAGAAGCTACCAATCATTTAATTCATTAACTTTTCCTAGAAATCAAAATCCTGAGATGCTGTTTTCTAATTGCATGAGCGTATAAAGCAGAACTTAAAAACTTACACTAAGTCGCCTGTCGGCTCCGATCTGGTGCCGTTTCCTCACAGCCTTCGTATTGAACATGTAGATTGTGAAAATAACCTAATATTCCAGGAAATTGAGTATCAGTTCCTCCTTCCTTAAATATTATGTTGAAATAATGGAAAAAAATATCAAAGTTCTCAAATTTCTCACAACTTAACTAGTGAGAGACTCAACAACTCCAGTTCGGTTGAATGTGATGAATTCTAACTAATCCAGAACAAACCAAAATAACAACTTATGATTTACCGAACTTGCATAAGGACACAGTTTTGTGTCTTTTCTGTTGGATACCAATGTTTTTTCATTTTTTTTATCCGACACTGTCAGGTGTTGCAGGGTGGTGATACAGTACACCTTCCCTGTTACAATCTTATTTTATTGAAAAACACTGCGCATTACCAACCTGTTTTAACTGCACCTGAGGTAGTGCAAATGACCCAGTTAAGGTGTTTTGTGGCAGACAAGCATCTAAAAGTTGCAGGACCCCGGACCTTGAGGGCCAGAACTAAGAAACCCTGATGTAAAGTTTAGAGCATTGATAATGACTGATCTCCAGGCCTTTGTAGAGGAAGATAAAATTGATGGAGAAGATCAATTTCACATATCAGAGGTTGATTGGCGATCACCTAAAATGGAGGAAACTAGGTCCTATTATTCAGTGCACTTCATGGCTTGGTCCATATACGGCAAATGAGTACAGACTTTGAAGCCAAAGCAGAAGAGTGTCAGTGGTCGCCATGATAACCAATGTCCTAATAGTGCTGACAATAAGAAAGGAGGTTGGAAAAGGAGACTGTATGCTTCCTGTTATAGCCCTGTTTTAGCACTGGGAAACTCTTATTCCTGTCCTGTGCTGCGCTGTGCTTATGAGCAATAGGAAATCCCACAATCCTTTGCATAACACCACATATAACCAAAGCCCACCTTACAGAAATGAACAAATATACAATATTGCTTCACATATGTGTGACTATAAGCAAATTTACACACCTTCATAATTTTGTTAGTATTTTATAATGGAGAGATTCAGCCCTTAGCTACATTTGGGTAATTAGCTTTTATGGGTCATTTTCCAGAAGGCTGTGGTCCACCTTTGACAAGCATCATCCATGTATAATGATGATGTATGTAAGGCTGAAGGTTGAATTTGGCACAGCCCTCTGGAGTTCCTTTCCTACCAATAATGATCTTAGTGTTGAACTACTGTAGGAGCTACAATTTGCTGCTTTTGGAATTAGCCCATAACTCTTTTTCAATAAAAACTGTACAGTGATAGAGACCTTGGATTTGTGAACTACAAAAATAAAACAATGCTTTAAGGGTGAAATGAGTGCACTTCCTCCTTTCTCATTACTGATCTCTTCTAAGCCAGTTTCTGTTCCCAGCATTAAACAAGGACATAGCTAAAAGCTTAAGAGATCCAGAGAGAAAGAAAACTAGAGTGAATTACACATTTTTCACTATGTTTGTTATATGCAAATCAGTTCTAATTAAATTTTCTGTCCAGAACTTTAAACCCACATCCTCAGATGAACTCCTATACATTAAACTTAAAGCACCTCAGATTAACAACCTTTCAGCCTAGAGTTAGATTGACAAAAAAAAGAAAACTCTCCCAAAAGAATGACTTTAACTATCGAAACAACCTTCACTTTCAACATGTTTCCCCGCTGTGTAGTTTTTTTAGGAGCAAAGAGAAATAGTTCCCTCAGCGCAGTGAAAAGTCAAAATTCTCTCTGCCACTGAGCTGCTCCAGAGTCGAGCTCTAAAATATTATTTTATGCAAAAGATGAAAAACAGTGAAAACAGCCAATTCTGACAAGTTTATACTGGCCTGCAATGTTGTGTTTAAAAAAAACAAAAATGAAAATCCTTCTCAGGATAAAGAAACATGTTTGGTGACCATTCCCATAAACACCACATGTTACACTGTAAACAATGCAGTGAAAATAATGGATTTATTTGAAAGGGAGCACTATACTGTAATAGTTCTATGGTTTTGAATCTCTTTGCACGTTTGAGTGAGGATATCAAACAGAGGGCCTCTCGACCTGAAAAGGTGAGAATGGAAAACCATATTGGGCTTTTGAAAGTAAAGCCACATGTGTGTTAGAGCCCAGTGACCTCGGCGTCAGCACTTTATTCCTACAGTTGGGCCCGCTAAGAAGTTAGGGGCTTCACTGGAATTCTATTCATAATATTTTCATTATATTTGAATATTTTTCTTTCTCTTTATTCCCAATAGCCTCCTCATCAAGTTACTGTGCAATTAATTGTATTTCTGACTTTTACTTGGCAAGCGGTCAGGTCTGTCCCCCAGTTACAACAGCATAGGCTGGGTTGGTCTGAACTGCTGTCAGCTGAGAGGGTCTGTGGACACATCAACTCCTCTGCTGTTATAAGACCACAACAAGTTCCCAAATAAAAGTGCTCTTTGAGAAGTATAAAAACAGCCCTGTGTTAATAGTTAAACCTGAGCAATCTCTGAGGAAGCTAGCCTCAGCACATACCATTTAAATGAGGGGTTTCTATATAATTAAAAAATGTTTGATCTCATTTTTAATCAGTGATTGAAAGAAATGAGAGTCCCTCATACCCTGCAGCTTTGTCTTATTTCTTCAGAAAAAAAAAAGTCAAAATTACTTCACCAATATCAACTTTAAAGAAAAACCAAAGCTAGAAATAAATATTTTTAAGTAAAACAGCGTTGCCATCTATTGACGAGTCAAACGGCTTCAAAACAATGAGAAAATACAATATGATAAACAGTATCGTTCAGAGTCCTTTTAATACCGCGCTGGAGAATGTGCCAGTCTGTTCAACCCCCCCTCCCCAACCTGTTACTGATCATTTATGTTATTTAGTCAAAGTTTAGTCAATGCCTCGTTTTATGACGTAAT